CACCTGTTAATACTTTACAACTAATATCACATCATCAGTTAAGGAGAAGATGCATCAAACCAATAAAGGGTATATACTTAATCATGTGGTCTTTCATACAAATCCTGAAAGAATACTGTACAATGAATCCCATGTTTTTCAATTCCGTTACCTCAGTATCAGTATCTGAAAATGAAGAGATTCTCTGGGTCCCTTTTCATTTATATCCTCACACAATCTAACAAAATAAAAATAATAACATATTTTCATTTCATTCAAACAACCGAAAACTACCTGAGGTTGAGCAATGTATCATCAGGTGCGTGTAAAACTAAGATACAATGAATGACTGGGTTGTGGATCATGGTCCTGTAAAATCTGATAGATCCATGACCAAACCTTGGTACCGTAGATGTGTATCACCCTAACTGGGCTAGTGCTAGGGGGACAGGAGTATCCTGATACTCACGCACACACACACCACGCACACATAACTCACATAAACACGCACCTCATACACACCTTAGGCACACACATCATGCACACACACACACTTCACATACACACGCACCTCATACACAGCTTAGGCACACACATCATGCACACACACACACTTCACATAAACACGCACCTCATACACACCTTAGGCACACACATCATGCACACACACACACTTCACATACACACGCACCTCATACACAGCTTAGGCACACACATCATGCACACACACACACACACCTCACATACACACGCACCTCATACACACCTTAGGCACACACATCATGCACGCACGCACACACACACACACACACACACACACACACACACACACACACACACACACACACACACACACACACGCACGCACGCACACACACACACACACACACGCACCTCACATACACACACACGCACCTCATACACACCGTAGGCACACACATCATGCACACACACACACACACACACCTCACATACACACACACGCACCTCATACACACCGTAGGCACACACATCATGCACACACACACACCTCTCTCACACACACACACACAGACCACCTCACATATACACACGTACACTTCACATACACCTTACGCATACATACACAGCATGCATACACACACCGCAGATACACACACACCTCTCACACACTCCACCTCAAATACACACACACCTCACATACACATACACACACACCTCTAACACACATACCTCACATACACATACACTCCACCTCACACCCACACACCTCACATACACCTCTCACACACACCTCACATACACACGCACCTTACATACACACACTCCACCTCACACACACGCTCCACCTAGGCCTCACATACACACACACCTCACATAAACACCCTCACCCACACACCTCACATACACACTCCACCCCACATCACACCCACCCACATCACACATACACACATCACACCCAACCACACATCACACCCACCCACATCACACATACACACTTCACACCCACCCACATCACATCACACCCACCCACATCACACATACACACATACACACATCACACCTACCCACATCACACATACACACATCACACATACACACATCACACCCACATCACACATACACACATCACACCCACCCACATCACACATACACACATCACACCCACCTCACACATACACACATCACACCCACCCACATCACACATACACACATCACACGCACCCACATCACACATACACACATCACACCCACCCACATCACACATACACACATCACATCACACATACACACATCACATCACATCCACCTCACACATACACAAATCACTCCCACCCACACCACCCACATCAAATCACACCCACCCACATCACACATACACACATCACACCCACCCACATCACAAATACACACATCACATCACATCCACCTCACACATACACACTTCACTCCCACCCACATCACACACATCACACCCACCCACATCATACATACACACATCACACCCACCCACATCACACATACACACATCACTCCCACACACATCACACATACACACATAACACCCACCCACATCACACATACACACATCACACCCACCCACATCACACATAGACACATCACACCCACCCACATCACATCACACCCACCCACATCACACATATGCACATCACACCCACCCACATCACACGTACAAATATCACACCCACCCACATCACACCCACCCACATCACAACACACCCACCTCACACATACACACATCACACTCACCCACATCATACATACACACATCACACCCACCCACATCACACATACGCACATCACACCCACCCACATCACACATACAAATATCACACCCACACACATCACACCCACCCACATCACAACACACCCACCTCACACATACACACATCACACCCACCCACATCATACATACACACATCACACCCACCCACATCACACATACACACATCACACCCACCCACATCACACATACACACATCACACCCACCCACATCACACATACACACATCACACCCACCCACATCACACATACACACATCACACCCACCCACATCACACATACACACATCACTCCCACCCACCTCACACATACACACATCACACCCACCCACATCATACATACACACATCACACCCACCCACATCACACATACACACATCACTCCCACCCACACATCACACCCACCCACATCACACATACACACATCACATCACATCCACCTCACACATACACACATCACTCCCACCCACATCACATCACACCCACCCACATCACACCTACCCACATCACACCTACCCACATCACACATACACACATCACACCCACCTCACACATACACACCCAACCACATCACACATACACACATCACTCCCACCCACAACACATCACACCCACCCACATCACACATATGCACATCACATCACACCCACATCACACATGCACACATCACACCCACCCACATCACATCACACTCACCTCACACATACACATATACAAACATCACAACCACCCACATCATACACACATCACACCCACCAACATCACACATACACACATCACACCAACCCACATCACACATATGCACATCACATCACACATACACACATCACATCCACCCACAACACATCACACCAACCCACATCACACATATGCACATCACATCACACCCACATCACACATACACACATCACACCCACCCACATCACACATACACATATCACACCCACCCACATCACACATACACACATCACACCCACATCACACATACACACATACACACATCACAACCACCCACATCACACCCCACCTTAGCATCTATCCAAGGTCAAGGTGATTTTAGGTTATGAAATGTGGTTCCATCGTTCCCATCCAGTTACTCATGCACATTTATTTGAACAGATTGTTTTGAATGTTGACATTCCTGAATGTCACTACCACTGACACGTTCAGTCACCAGTGGCAGAACCTGGGGATGGGAAGCACAATGTCTAGAGGGGGTCTGTATGGGGTTCGAAATTAATAACTTTTGTAACAACTGACAAAGGTTTGCTTGATTTAAAGTTTATTCAGCCAAAAAGGCTCTTTCTGTACATATTCATCACACAAATACTTGAAAATAATCAACAATTAGATTGTCTCTGCAGTCCAAATGTTATTAAACATGTTAAAAACAAAATGATGATTTAGTACATACTCGTTATTATTATCATCAAATATTGACTCCAATAGGAGATACACACACAGCAGGACATTTTTACATCATTTTAACATTTGTGTTGGTTGCCTTTTCACCTCCCTGATTACCTAGTGTTCGATTAACAACATTTTAAGCACAAGGTAGAAATATCCCAATCCAATCTATTTGTTTCTATAATGTTTTACAACAATATCATCAAATAACCATCAAAATATCTCAGTATTTTGCAACGTGGAATATGAGTTGGTATAAGTGAAAACACCCAGTTAACCTGACACCACAGCAATGCCACACCCTGATGCCACCTGTCAAATACCACATCTTGAAAGTCTCTCTGTCATACTCATACTGGCAATATTACTGGCACAACTGAGATGGAAGATTTGGTACAAGAGAAAGACAGTTGGTTCCACTTGGTGTTGTGGCAACAAGCCAAGCATAAATGCAATTTAGCTGATTTCATGAACATACATACAAAATATAGTGCAAAAGTTTCAGCCAAGATGAAAAGTGCATATTCATAGCCTTTGTACCAATGCACCCTGTGAATTTCAAAAGGGTCTCAAACATTAATTTAATTTTCAAATCATAAAGACTGTAAACATAATTAATGCGTCAGAATGATATTAGATAATGATATTTCCATGGAAGGATTGCTTGCGAAAAAACTCCTATTGGCAAAGCAGACACAATTCCTACCCAGCTAACACAGGACGTTGTCACAACGTTGTGGAAAGGTTGTGGATTGGTAACGTCGTGATATTACGTTGTCACAACGTTGTTATAACATCAACGTGCAACGTTATTTCACAACGTTATAACAACGTTGCACATTCACGTTGTGAAAACGTTGTGCATTGGACATCACACAACGTTTTGTAGCTACGTTTCTGAAACGTCGGTGAAACGTTATAGAGTTTGCTTCTCGATAGTCATAAAGGAATAGAACTGCTTTATCAAAATCAACATGAATTTGTCAGAATACCAAGGCAGTAATGCATTACCTTTCTATATATTCGGCATTTAAATTTTCATCTCTAATACTGAAATTTCCAGAATGTAATTGCGTATCTCTATGACAATGTTATTCCCCAACGTAACAACAACGTTGCAAATTAACGTTGTGATAACGTTGTGCTTTGGACATTACAACACTTTTTGCAAATGATGTTTAGGAAACCACTTGTAGATCTACTATCTCTTAGTTTTATTTTTTTTAAACATATATATCTATAACGATGTTATCTGTCTACTAAATGTTGTCACAAGCAATATTACAGTTAAAAACAATTGCGCCCATTTTTAGCGGCATGAGAGCGACTGCTGAAAAGTTTAACCTGTTGGCACGTGAAGTGACGTCAGAATGACGTCACATTGTCGCGGAAGATTTGTTGTCACCAGCCATCTTAGTTCAAGCTCACTCTAGACATAGTAGAAGTCTACAACCAAGAGATTGTGCAGCAACTGGAACTGGACAGATGATCTGTGAATTCGGATGAGGTAAGTTAATTTTTCAGAAGCAGCCTCCGCTTGTTGATATGTTTCTGTACATGCAGATCGTCAAATGATTTAAATGTATCGTATTATTCAGCAGTGGCCGGGTTTAGAATGCAGTTTGCCGGTCACTTTCACTGAGCGTCAGTGTTGATATTAATATTTGATACACAGAACATAATGTATATAGAGGTGAAGGAGGCCCAAGACTTTTTTCCATATTATTATTTTATGGATACCAAGGGTAATTACCAAGGGCAAGTAGTATATGTTTGACCAGAATTCAGTCTGGCGGCGTTTTGTGGCCGTCATATTATGTTCGGGTTTCGATCGTAAACGTGTAGGTCTGTAGGCCTAAATAGGCCTAACTTATGCATCGCCTACTGACCACTGACAGTTATCGCCATTTCTTCCGTGCTATTTCGGAAATCATTACCATTCAAAGTTTACTTGTACTAATCTTCGGACTTTGATTTTTGTGAAACAATGTGGCTCATTCAGGCCATGGGAAAGGTTTAGTAGATTTCTCTTATACAGCGAAGAGAGGGAATCAAAACAATGGAAGTATTTTCAGATCGACTCTCTGTAGGCTACTAGTTATAGCCTTAGTCTTAATGCGCTCAATGATGTTATGAAAAATTGTATTTTCGGGAAGAGATAGAAACATACTTGCTGTTTCCGAAAAGGCCTAATTAGCACTGACTGAAGTAGCCTAAATGTGGACCATCAGGTTCTTGGTGCTGTCTATACATTTTATTTTAGCAAGGCTCTTATCATGGTGTATTTTTATTATTTCCAAAAAAGAATCAATTCATCATTTTCCGATAACTAGATCTATGTCCGACTCCCTTCTAATGAAAACGAGAAAAGTAAAACGAGTCTCTCGTCGCGCGCTATAACGGGGTGTTTGCGGTATTTTCATATTGGTGATGATAAGCTAGTCGATAGTCAAAAGTTAAATATGACCATATATTGTCAGTGAGTTGGTCATCGTTTGTTGATTATTAAGGTGAGATAGGTGTAGCCAGAGACCATATAATTATATGGTCTCTGGTGTAGCCAATGTGCACCAATGAAAATTACAATGGAATTGATAGCAACCCTATTCGTTCGGTTTTCGATCTCCATATGTTGCCACGTAGGCTACCATACTAGGTCTACAGAATTATATTTAACGATATTGAACTGTATTATGTTAATAAACGTAGTAACAAATAAATTTCAATTATTTACAGAGCTGTTTCAACTTCGTCTGGTATTGTATAAGCTATTGCATTTTGTTAATTTTCCCATGTTTCTATCTTTGTAAATATTAGAAAAATAGATTCTATATAAATATCCTGGCATATTAATGTTAGTATTAAAAAAAATAATCACAATTTTAATTAGGATAAACACCCCAAAGTGTTAACACTTCTATTCATAATTCATATTCAACATTCATGCTTCAAATATGGGAACTATTTATTTTATTTGGCAATATATATTTTTCATTTATGTATATGTTTTTCAAATAAGGTTTTAGAAACTTGGCCAACATATTCACTTGAATCACTAGTTTGTGATGTACAGCAGAAAGGTAAATTTACTGCTTTGGAATAACTACAGTTGATCTATTGACTGATAAAACTATTTGCCAATACTACCACCTGTTACATCATACTCTAAGTAAATGTGATTTATCTATACAGTACTGGTTTATTTAAAAATGTGATACTTTGTGGTTTCTGTTTTTCTTTCAGGTGGAGAAAACAGTATTGTGGGAGCATATTTGTTTAAAGTACATCACTGACAGAAAGGTATGTATGATGCAATAATATGTACAAACATCTTCAAGAATTAAAATTTAGATGATTCTTATTTAATTATACCCACTATCTAAAAGGGCGGGGGTATAAAGTTACACCAATGATTCAGTGCTAAAAGCTTTTCAGCCTATGTATGATCCAAGAGCATCATGGTATTACTGTCTTCGCACTTTCAGCAGTTTTTAACTGTTTAAAGACTGACATCAGACATCAAAATATTATTTTGGGGAATGCAACCATTATTTTGTTATGTCAGAAATATGTCCCTTGCCTTGCCATTTTATAACATTTGTGTCATTTTTTATTCAGTTACAAAAGGCTTAAGGAGAGAGTATGGATACAGTTGAAGATCATCCCTGTGACTTTTCATTTGAGGACTGAAAAGGCTCCTCAGCCACTCAGCCCAAGTTCTGACTTGTCATTTAATAAATAAAAAAAGGTCACCTCAACCAGAATTCTATTGTCATTTCGTTGCTGGGAAATGGATCTTAGGACATCAGATGCATAGGCTATTCTGTTTGTCACAGTGTTGCTCTCAATGCTGAATGTATGGGGTAAGGCCAATAAAATTTATAAATGTTTCAATTTGTGCAGGGCTTATTGTTTGATGGTTTTTAATTTGCAAATTCATGGGAAAATCAAATATCTTTTAATTGTGTTGAAACATTTGTGAACAATTTGCACATAGCCTTGAAAACTGTTTGGGAAAATAAATATTATATAACCAAATTGTACATGTAATTTAAAACATTTAGATTTTTATCTTGGCCGTATTTCAAACTCTGCCAAAAGAGAGTGCATTTCATTGACTTGCTGTTTCACAGATAGGGTTAAAGTGAATTCAGTTTGCAGAATGCATTGCTTGGTACCTGATGTCTTAACTAGATTGGTACCTGATGTCTTAACTAGATTGGTACAAACTGGCTGCCTGGGAGGTAATGAGGAATAAGACAGGCGTTAATCTACATGGACATTGCAACAACGTGCTGCAATGGCTGTAGTGTCGCCATATGTATGCGATACCTACGTTGTCGCGACGTTTTGGATAAACGTTGTAGCAACGTAAAAAATGGATGTTGTGACAACGTCTTGATTTGGTTGTATTTTGGTTTACGCATAACGTTGTAGCAACCAATCTGGGAGTCTACAGATTTACGTTGTGACAACGTTACATCACAACGTTGTAGCAACAAAAAGTCAACGTTGTCACAACGTTGTCACAACGTAGAATTGTTTGCTGGGTACTGACTAAGCCCAGGAACACTAGACAGTGTCATATCACATTTGAGCCCTGTTTTGACATAATTGTGATATAAGTCATCTCCAGCCATTTCTCCTTTGAGTCAAGACGTGAGATCATCCATTGCTTCTGTGAAGTTGACGAGACCCAGGAGATCTGTGACAGCCAGTTTGGTCTCCACCGTGTGGTAGAAAAACTCGGGTGCCTGGTAACATATTTTAATTGTCATATCATAATCTGGAACGTATTTAATTTTCGACAATTAACTTGTCTTGTGTCATATCTGACTTTACATTAACAACGGTAGGAGATTGTCTGTCCATATACAAAAATAGTGTCATTCAAAAATTCAATGTCTAGGTTTACCAGGGAAAGTCAAATTCAACTCGTCCACTTTAAATTTTAGACTAATTGTGGTAAATATCTAGATTTGGGGAGAAAAATACTGGTCCTTCCAGTTTTTCATTTGCCTTGGGACTTAATATAGTTGCAATGTTAAATGAAGGAAACATTAGCAGTACAGATTTTATGGGAGCTTCATGTACTTTGATGACTAAAGGAGTGCACATCTTGACAAAAGTTATTTCCCTTTAAACAGTGATATTAGTGAACTTGACATGCTGCATCTTTTACTGATACATGTGGAATACATTCCTTATTAATTTGTGATATGTGCTTAAAATATTAAATACATCTGTACATTCACCTCAAATCTCAGGTTTTTGAGAAATGCAACTTCACGGCCTGTTAACTTCTCCAGTTTTTTTCTAAAACAAAAGAGTCAAGCATTGTAGTGGCGGTTGAAACATTTAGTAATTAAAATCTATGATTGGAATTATTTAATATATCTAGATATAAATACCTTTTTATCAAACATATTTTTTTTATGTATGTTTATAATACTTAGATAAAACAATGTAATCACAACAGCCATACACTAACAGAGAAACACTGTATACAGTGGTGAAACATGACAGTGGAGACATTGTGTTCAGTGGAGAGACATTTTCTACAGCGGAGAGACATTGTACACAGTGGAGAGACATTGTATACAGTGGAGAGATATTGTATACAGTGGACAGATATTGTATACAGTGGACAGATATTGTATACAGTGGACTGATATTGTATACAGTGGAGATATATTGTATACAGTGGAGATATATTGTATTCAGTGGACAGATATTGTATACAGTGGTGAAACATGACAGTGGAGACATTGTGTTCAGTGGAGAGACATTTTCTACAGCGGAGAGACATTGTACACAGTGGAGAGACATTGTATACAGTGGAGAGATATTGTATACAGTGGACAGATATTGTATACAGTGGACAGATATTGTATACAGTGGACTGATATTGTATACAGTGGAGAGATATTGTATACAGTGGAGATATATTGTATTCAGTGGACAGATATTGTATACAGTGGTGAAACATGACAGTGGAGACATTGTGTTCAGTGGAGAGACATTTTCTACAGTGGAGAGACATTGTACACAGTGGAGAGACATTGTACACAGTGGAGAGGTATTGTATTCAGTGGACAGATATTGTATACAGTGGAGAGATAATGTATACAGTGGAGAGATATTGTATACAGTGGAGATACATTGTTTACAGTAGAGAGACATTGTATACAGTAGAGAGACATTGTATACAGTGGAGAGACATTGTATACAGTGGAGAGATATTGTATACAGTGGAGAGACATTGTATACAGTGGACAGATATTGTATACAGAGGAGAGATAATGTATACAGTGGACAGATATTGTATACAGTGGAGAGATATTGTATACAGTGGAGAGACATTGTTTACAGTAGAGAGACATTGTATACAGTGGAGAGACATTGTTTACAGTAGAGAGACATTGTATACAGTAGAGATATATTGTAGACAGTAGAGATGCATTGTATACAGTAGAGAGACATTGTATATACAGTAGAGAGACATTGCATACAGAAGAGAGATATTGTATACAGTGGAGAGACATTGTATACAGTGGAGAAATATTGTATACAGTGGAGAGACATTGTTTACAGTAGAGAGACATTGTATACAGTAGAGATATATTGTAGACAGTAGAGATGCATTGTATACAGTAGAGAGACATTGTATATACAGTAGAGAGACATTGTATACAGAAGAGAGACATTGTATACAGTGGACAGATATTATATACAGTGGAGAGACATTGTATACAGTGGAGAGACATTGTATACAGTGGAGAGACATTGTATACAGTGGAGAGACATTGTATACAGAAGAGAGACATTGTATACAGTGGAGAGACATTGTATACAGTGGAGAGACATTGTATACAGTGGAGAGACATTTTCTACAGTGGAGAGACCTTTTTCTACAGTGGAGAGACATTGTATACAGTAGAGAGACATTGTATACAGTGGAGAGACATTGTATACAGTGGAGAGACATTTTCTACAGTGGAGAGACATTGTATACAGTGGAGAGACATTGTATACAGTGGAGAGACTTTGTATACAGTGGAGAGGTATTGTATACAGAAGAGAGACATTGTATACAGTGGAGAGACATTGTATACAGTAGAGAGACATTGTATACAGTGGAGGGACATTTTCTACAGTGGAGAGACATTGTATACAGTGGAGAGACATTGTATACAGTGGAGAGACATTGTATACAGTGGAGAGACATTGTATACAGTGGAGAGACATTGTATACAGTGGAGAGACATTGTTTACAGTAGAGAGACATTGTATACAGTAGAGATATATTGTAGACAGTAGAGATGCATTGTATACAGTAGAGAGACATTGTATATACAGTAGAGAGACATTGCATACAGAAGAGAGATATTGTATACAGTGGAGAGACATTGTATACAGTGGAGAAATATTGTATACAGTGGAGAGACATTGTTTACAGTAGAGAGACATTGTATACAGTAGAGATATATTGTACACAGTAGAGATGCATTGTATACAGTAGAGAGACATTGTATATACAGTAGAGAGACATTGTATACAGAAGAGAGACATTGTATACAGTGGAGAGATATTATATACAGTGGAGAGACATTGTATGCAGTGGAGAGACATTGTATACAGTGGAGAGACATTGTATACAGTGGAGAGACATTGTATACAGAAGAGAGACATTGTATACAGTGGAGAGACATTGTTTACAGTAGAGAGACATTGTATACAGTAGAGATATATTGTAGACAGTAGAGATGCATTGTATACAGTAGAGAGACATTGTATACAGTAGAGAGACATTGTATACAGTGGAGAGACATTGTATACAGTGGAGAGATATTGTATACAGTGGAGAGACATTGTATACAGTGGACAGATATTGTATACAGTGGAGAGATAATGTATACAGTGGACAGATATTGTATACAGTGGAGAGATATTGTATACAGTGGAGAGACATTGTTTACAGTAGAGAGACATTGTATACAGTGGAGAGACATTGTTTACAGTAGAGAGACATTGTATACAGTAGAGATATATTGTAGACAGTAGAGATGCATTGTATACAGTAGAGAGACATTGTATATACAGTAGAGAGACATTTTCTACAGAAGAGAGATATTGTATACAGTGGAGAGACATTGTATACAGTGGAGAAATATTGTATACAGTGGAGAGACATTGTTTACAGTAGAGAGACATTGTATACAGTGGAGGGACATTTTCTACAGTGGAGAGACATTTTCTACAGTGGAGAGACATTGTATACAGTGGAGAGACATTCTATACAGTGGAGAGACATTGTATACAGTGGAGAAACATTGTATACAGTAGAGAGACATTGTATACAGTGGAGAGACATTGTATACAGTGGAGAGACATTGTATACAGTGGAGAGACATTGTATACAGTGGAGAGACTTTGTATACAGTGGAGAGATATTGTATACAGTGGACAGATATTGTATACAGTGGACAGATATTGTATACAGTGGACTGATATTGTATACAGTGGAGAGATAATGTATACAGTGGACAGATATTGTATACAGTGGAGAGATATTGTATACAGTGGAGAGACATTGTTTACAGTAGAGAGACATTGTATACAGTGGAGAGATATTGTATACAGTGGAGAGACATTGTTTACAGTAGAGAGACATTGTATACAGTGGAGAGACATTGTTTACAGTAGAGAGACATTGTTTACAGTAGAGATATATTGTAGACAGTAGAGATGCATTGTATACAGTAGAGAGACAGTGTATATACAGTGGAGAGACATTTTCTACAGAAGAGAGATATTGTATACAGTGGAGAGACATTGTATACAGTGGAGAAATATTGTATACAGTGGAGAGACATTGTTTACAGTAGAGAGACATTGTATACAGTGGAGAGACATTGTTTACAGTAGAGAGACATTGTATACAGTAGAGATATATTGTAGACAGTAGAGATGCATTGTATACAGTAGAGAGACATTGTATATACAGTACAGAAACATTGTATACAGAAGAGAGACATTGTATACAGTGGAGAGATATTATATACAGTGGAGAGACATTGTATACAGTGGAGAGACATTGTATACAGTGGAGAGACATTGTATACAGTGGAGAGACATTGTATACAGAATAAAGACATTGTATACAGTGGAGAGACATTGTATACAGTGGAGAGACATTGTATACAGTGGAGAGACATTTTCTACAGTGGAGAGACATTTTCTACAGTGGAGAGACATTGTATACAGTAGAGAGACATTGTATACAGTGGAGAGACATTGTATACAGTGGAGAGACATTGTATACAGTGGAGAGACATTGTATACAGTGGAGAGACATTTTCTACAGTGGAGACACATTGTATACAGTGGAGAGACATTGTATACAGTGGAGAGACTTTGTATACAGTGGAGAGGTATTGTATACAGAAGAGAGACATTGTATACAGTGGAGAGACATTGTATACAGTAGAGAGACATTGTATACAGTGGAGGGACATTTTCTACAGTGGAGAGACATTTTCTACAGTGGAGAGACATTGTATACAGTGGAGAGACATTGTATACAGTGGAGAAACATTGTATACAGTGGAGAAACATTGTATACAGTAGAGAGACATTGTATACAGTGGAGAGACATTGTATACAGTGGAGAGACATTGTATACAGTGGAGAGACATTGTATACAGCGGAGAGACATTGTACACAGTGGAGAGATATTGTATACAGTGGACAGATATTGTATACAGTGGACAGATATTGTATACAGTGGACTGATATTGTATACAGTGGAGAGATATTGTATACAGTGGAGATATATTGTATTCAGTGGACAGATATTGTATACAGTGGTGAAACATGACAGTGGAGACATTGTGTTCAGTGGAGAGACATTTTCTACAGTGGAGAGACATTGTACACAGTGGAGAGACATTGTACACAGTGGAGAGGTATTGTATTCAGTGGACAGATATTGTATACAGTGGAGAGATAATGTATACAGTGGAGAGATATTGTATACAGTGGAGATACATTGTTTACAGTAGAGAGACATTGTATACAGTAGAGAGACATTGTATACAGTGGAGAGACATTGTATACAGTGGAGAGATATTGTATACAGTGGAGAGACATTGTATACAGTGGAGAGACATTGTTTACAGTAGAGAGACATTGTATACAGTGGAGAGACATTGTTTACAGTAGAGAGACATTGTATACAGTAGAGATATATTGTAGACAGTAGAGATGCATTGTATACAGTAGAGAGACATTGTATATACAGTAGAGAGACATTGTATACAGAAGAGAGACATTGTATACAGTGGAGAGATATTATATACAGTGGAGAGACATTGTATACAGTGGAGAGACATTGTATACAGTGGAGAGACATTGTATACAGAAGAGAGACATTGTATACAGTGGAGAGACATTGTATACAGTGGAGAGACATTTTCTACAGTGGAGAGACATTTTCTACAGTGGAGAGACATTTTCTACAGTGGAGAGACATTGTATACAGTAGAGAGACATTGTATACAGTGGAGAGACATTGTATACAGTGGAGAGACATTGTATACAGTGGAGAGACATTTTCTACAGTGGAGAGACATTGTATACAGTGGAGAGACATTGTATACAGTGGAGAGACTTTGTATACAGTGGAGAGGTATTGTATACAGAAGAGAGACATTGTATACAGTGGAGAGACATTGTATACAGTAGAGAGACATTGTATACAGTGGAGAGACATTTTCTACAGTGGAGAGACATTTTCTACAGTGGAGAGACATTGTATACAGTGGAGAGACATTGTATACAGTGGAGAGACATTGTATACAGTGGAGAGACATTGTATACAGTGGAGAGACATTGTATACAGTGGAGAGACATTGTATACAGTAGAGAGACATTGTACACAGTGGAGAGACATTGTATACAGTGGAGAGACATTGTATACAGTGGAGAGGTATTGTATACAGTGGAGAGACATTTTCTACAGTGGAGAGACATTGTATACAGTAGAGAGACATTGTATACAGTGGAGATACATTGTATACAGTGGAGAGACATTTTCTACAGTGGAGAGACATTGTATACAGTAGAGAGACATTGTATACAGTGGAGAGACATTGTATACAGTGGAGAGATATTGTATACAGTGGAGAGACATTGTATACAGTGGAGAGACATTTTCTACAGTGGAGAGACATTGTATACAGTAGAGAGACATTGTATACAGTGGAGAGACATTGTATACAGTGGAGAGACATTGTATACAGTGGAGAGGTATTGTATACAGAAGAGAGACATTGTATACAGAAGAGAGACATTGTATACAGTAGAGAGACATTGTATACAGTAGAGAGACATTGTATACAGTAGAGAGACATTGTATACAGTAGAGAGACATTGTATACAGTGGAGAGACATTGTATACATTGGAGAGACATAGTATACAGTGGAGAGACATGGTACACAGTGGAGAGATATTTTCTACAGTAGAGAGACATTTTCTACGGTAGAGAGACATTGTATACAGTGGACATATATCGTATACAGTGGAGAGACATTGTATACAGTGGAGAGACATTTTCTACAGTGGAGAGATATTGTATACAGTGGAGAGACATTGTATACAGTGGAGAGGTATTGTATACAGAAGAGAGACATTGTATACAGAAGAGAGACATTGTATACAGTAGAGAGACATTGTATACAGTGGAGATACATTGTATACAGTGGAGAGACATTGTATACAGTGGAGAGACATCGTACACAGTGGAGAGACATTGTATACAGTAGAGAGACATTTTCTACAGCAGAGAGAGATTTTCTACAGTAGAGAGACATTGTATACAGTAGAGAGACATTGTATACAGTAGAGAGACATCAATGTATACAGTAGAGAGATATTGTATACAGTGGAGAGACATTGTATACAGTGGAGAGGTATTGTATACAGAAGAGAGACATTGTATACAGAAGAGAGACATTGTATACAGTAGAGAGACATTGTATACAGTAGAGAGACATTGTATACAGTAGAGAGACATTGAATACAGTGGAGAGACATTTTCTACAGTGGAGAGACATTGTATACAGTGGAGATACATTGTATACAGTGATGAGACATTGTATACAGTGATGAGACATTGTATACAGTGAAGAGACATTGATTACAGTGCAGAGGCATTGTATACAGAAGAGAGACATTGTATACAGAAAAGAGACATTGTATACAGTGGAGATACATTGTATACAGTGATGAGACATTGTATACAGTAGAGATACATTGTATACAGTGAAGAGACATTGATTACAGTGCAGAGGCATTGTATACAGTGAAGAGAAATTGTATACAGTAGAGAGACATTGTATACAGAAGAGAGACATTGTTTACAGTAGAAACATCAATGTATACAGTAGAGATACATTTTCTACAGTGGAGAGACATTGTATACAGTAGAGAGACATTGTTTACAGTAGAGAGACATCAATGTATACAGTAGAGATACATTGTATACAGTAGAGAGACATTGTATACAGAAGAGAGACATTGTTTACAGTAGAGAGACATTGTATACAGTAGAGAGACATTGTTTACAGTAGAGAGACATTGTATACAGTGTAGAAACATTGTATACAGTGGAGAAACATTGTATACAGTAGAGAGACATTGTATACAGTAGAGAGACATTGTATTCAGTAGAGAAACATTGTATACAGTAGAGAGACATTGTATACAGTAGAGATGCATTGTATACAGAAGAGAGACATTGTATACAGTAGAGAGACATTGTATACAGTAGAGAGACATTGTATACAGTAGAGAGACATTGTATTCAGTAGAGAAACATTGTATACAGTAGAGAAACATTGTATACAGTAGAGAGACATTGTATATACAGTAGAGAGACATTGTATACAGTAGAGAGACACCTACCCCTTTAGATTGTGCTTTGCCAGCCATTTGGCCACATCAGCACTTGTCCACAGTTTGATGGGGTCTGCATCTGACTTCACAGCTGGAGAGCGGAAGGCAGTGGTCTTCTTGGCAACTGCTACTGGCTGTATCAATACAGGACAAAATGAGTGAGTGAGTGAGTGAATAAACATGTTATTGGGGTCACCCAAGTGAGTGAGTGAGTGTGTGAGTGAGTATGGTTTTATGTTGCTTCTAGCAATATTCCAGCAATATCACGGCGGGGAACACCAGAAATGGGCTTCACACATTTGGGTCACCCAAGAGTGACAAGGGTTCAAAAATAATATTCATATTGCTTTGGGGGGTGATTCACTTAAATGGAAAGTCCTTTTACTGTTAAGTATGAAAATCTTACAAGATGCCAAATGTATGTTTCATTATAAAAATGATTAAAGGATAAAAGGGAAGTGAATGGACAAATGGTAACATCATGAGAGAGTCTTGAGAATGCAAAAGCACATTTATAAAGTGTCGAATATATTCATGTCTAAAGGTGTGAAGCTGATTATTTTACAGCAGAAAGATGACAGGTTACAAGACAACATGATCTGGGCAATGACGTGAGGGAGTGAGAAAGAATTGTCTTATGCTGCTCTAGTAATAATGAATGCTCCTGTGGCAAGGGAGTTCACCGACTATAAAAGTCCAGTGGAAAATGGACTTTTCTTCAGTCAACTTCCCTATGAAGATGATGCTTGCTTAAAAGGACACTGTTCTGTTATGGTTACTTCACGAGAAAATACAGAGTAACTGGGGTCACATTATTTTGACGTTATCTTACTTCAACAAAATGGGACAGTGCTCATAATATTAATCACTTTTTTTCTGATACAGACTCAAGTATTAACAGGACACCATGGTATAGCACGAATAATGCTGAATGCTAAACAACAAACAAAAACACATAATGACATCTTTGTACCTTCACAACCCCAGCGTCCTCCGACAAACCAGGTTCCGCATCAGACAGGCTCATTCTCAGCTCCTTCTTCAGGCCGTCCACCTTGGAATCAAAGCTGTATTTGCCGCTGAAGTCAAAGAATAACTTCGACCCCAGGATCATCCCCAGCCAGCCATCGGGGCGGTACCCCAATTCCATGACAAGGGGCACGATGGGCTTCCTCTGGGAAAACGCATACTCTGCCTCTGTAATAATGGTAGTAAACACAAGTTATATAGCAGTCAAACTCTATAAATGTAGGGCTCTGAGTGTAGCAACATATGGACACGAGTACCCTTGTCTCAAAACTGACCTCAACACATGTACACGGTTTCAATGGCATTATGCCTCTGTAATGATGAGTAGTATAGATAATTTATTATTATTGTCATCCTTCTTATCGCCAGCTGACATTGACAACCTAGATATTCAACAGTCTGGGTGCCTGTTACAACTGAGATGTTTTGATTGATGTCATGTCTCCAGGATGAATTATGGTTGAGATCCCATCAATATGTGTTGAAGTTATTGGCCAGAACACAGTTCTAGTCACTTCCAAGTGACCTCTATTAAGTTAACCATATGACTCGCTTTTAAGATTGACCTGTTGTACCTCCACAGATCTACGATAAACTAAACTAAGAATACTTGACCAGAAACAGCAAAGAACTTTAATTCAGAGTAAAACTTCCATTCCATCAGTGACACATCTTCCCGAGGCAAAGGAGTTAACTGACTATAATAGTCAAGTTTCCACCTTTACCTAACTAGGATGGAATTTCTTTACAACTGACCCACTGACCTGCTCGACAGTTCGGGCTGTCCTTGTACCTCCGAGACATGGCCATCAACACCACAGATGCATTCTCAATGGCCTCCGCCATAGCTTGTAGTGTGGAGCCTCCCATGTTGTCAATGTCCATCCACACGTCGTAGCCGTTCTGTTTCAGACAGTCCTTCACCTTGATTAGCACCTCCTGATTGGCCCACTGGTAGCTGATCATCACATGACCTTTGGCCTTCTGACCTTCACCTTGACCTTTGTTGCTTTTTGTGGAAGATCCAGATAATTCTTTGCCTAATTCAATAAGAAATGACATGCTTTCTATGTAATACATTTTTTAATTGGTTTATTGATTTGTCAATGCCAAAAAGATTAAAAAAGAATCTGAAAAGCATGACTTGTTGCAATCAACCTGTTCGTGGGTGTACAGGTGGTGCAGAAGTCTAAGGCACCACAATTTGTTAGGCAGAGTTGTGTCCCTTGGGCACGCCTGGAGCTGATGGTCGTGGGTTCCAGTCCCTGATTATGTTTCTTGGTTTGTCAGCACCATACCCATGATCATGGATTTCTTCATTTAGGCAAATGTCTGAGAACTGCATCATTTTGGGCTTTCCTCCCACATTAAGCTGATATGCAATGATACTGTTCAAAGCGGCGTTAAAACCAACTGACTGACTCACTCAACCAGTTGACCACAAAACATGGATAAATATGTCACTAATGGGATCACCTGAACAAACAATGAACACAAACAAATTTGTCCACCCAGTGATAAAAAAGTCTGCCTGAAATTTTAAAAAACCATGAAATACATCCACACAGCTCTACACACCAAATGAATGAAATTTGTATGACCACAACCATTCATTGTTGCATGGAACCAATCATCAGGGACCCCCTCACCTATGTCTGCATACTTCTGGGACTGAAGGAGGATCTCACGCAGGTTCCACAGCAGCCCCTGACAAGGCTTGCGGATGTTCTGGTCGGTAGAGCTGTGATATTTGTCCACCACAGCCTCCATCAGACCCGGCTCCTCCATCATCCTCTGTTTGTTGTCTTCATCAAACGCCAGGACCCACATGGACTCGATCGCCTCTGATGAGATACACGGAGGATTATTAATAAGTTGTCAAAGGATAAAGCTATCTGACTGAAGCTGCCATCTACATCACAGCAGACAGTTGGCTTACCAGTACAGACATCATGGTATCATGTTGTAAAATTCTGATGTGCTATTGACTATTCCCACTTCAGAGAAACTAAAATAACTTCAATAATTTAGAACCTGTGTAGATATGGGTGAGAATTGGTCTTCAGCAAACCATACTTGTCATAAATGATGACTAATGGGACCGGTTGGTCAGGCTCGCTGGCTTGGTTGATGCATGTCATCGCATCCCAAATGCATAGATTGATGTTCATGATGTCAATCACTGGATTGTCTGACCTGGACTCAATTACTTACAGACCGCCATCATATAGCTGTAATATTGCCTAGTGCTGCGTTAAACAACAAACAAACATAATTTGGAATACTTTAGGTGTGTGAATGATCTGGATATCATCAATGCAAATTCAGAATTGATGAAAGGACAATTTTCATGATTATTATTCTCAACATGCTGAAACAAGCTACAATTATCCAACTACCCCACACAGCTGCATCTTCTTCCTATTTCTAAGGAGGAGAACAATGTTTTATCATGAAATAAACCACACTTCGCTCTTCATTGATGTCTGAGATTTATCGCATAAATTTCTTATATTCGCAAGTAAGCCAGTATGATGCTACACAAGTTCCTGTATATCATGGTACATACCTTTTTGTTCCTCGACGTTGTCAGATTTGAAGAGCTTCAACAAGAGAGGGAGAGCACCCTCATTGACCAACATCTTCTTGTTGGCATCGTTTCTGGCCAGTCTTCCCACGGCTGAAATACATCAAAGTTTCAGCTATATTATAATTATATCATATATAGTCAAAAAATGGTTGATAGAGTGTTTTATTGGATTTGGGTTCTAACGGAGAAGGGCTGGGATGGGTAACTCGGGTACTTGGGTCATGTGTGTCCTGAGAAGGACTACCCGGACCCGGGGTTAGTCACACGATATATTGTTTAAATACAATCACAATAGAAGCCGCTTATGTATGCATTTCTTTAGGACTTATAATTCATGCAATGATTTTAACTTTTCTGACTTTTATACGTTTGAGTAGAGATATAACTTCAGTCCACTTCCGTGTACTCATTATCTGATTGTTTTATATGTGTATGTGAATAGTATTTGCCAGCGCTCTGGTAAAACAATTCCCAAACATACATTATGTAGTCAAGTCTTGAGACCTACAGTGGGTACCCGGGTTGGGTAGGGTAGGGTTATATGGGGTCGAGTACTCAGGTCATAAATTTGGACTCATCCCAGCCCTACATGAATCTTACAGACAGTATTGCTTTGATAGCTATCAACACAGATTTCATTTTTTTAGATTTAGCACTTGAACAGGAAGTGTATGTTATTGCTGTGTTTCAGTTGTTTGGGACATAAAAAAAACATCTTTGATTTACTTTTAACCAGGAATCTCTTTCAACAAATTCTGACAGGTAAATCAACAGATGACCAAAACATCTTAGGTTTAACTAATGATCAGATGGATCAATGCATGGATTCAACCAGTCGTAGTTATGGTTCAGAGTATCTGAACCTGCTCCAGGAGCCATGACTGTCCTGACATCTCATCTCTGTTACGGATGATGATTCATGATGTTACATAAAATACAAAATACATTTTGTACAAATATTTAGTGCCAGAGTAATGATAACATAATGGATCAGCCATGTTTGATCATAATATTCAAAGAATTACTGTCAGTCCACAGAAGATGTCACTGATTGAGTGAAATTTAATCAAACTTGACTGATCCAACAATAATGTCAGGGGTCAATAACATAATTATAGAGACAGATTTGTCCTGTAGTCATGAGTACTGGTATTATAAGAACATTTATTATACAGACCAGGGCCCCGTTCCATAAAGCAATCTTAGAGCTAAGTTGATCGTAATCCCCATCTTGTAACACTGGCTTACAATAGTCATAGTGCTATCATGGGATAACATTTATACTAAGTTATCTTATAATAATTAGATCTACATCAAGTGCTTTTATGAGTTATCATGGCGTAATATTTATACATCCTTTCATATAATTATAGTTTAGCAAGTAATAATTATCATTAGGTAAAATGCATATATAAAATATCAGTAGTTTCAGTTAAAGCTTTTTAGATGGTTGCTAGCCTAAGGTAATGGGAGCGCGTCTTCTAGACATACTATTCAATAAGACAAGAGTTACGTCTACATAGTTTAATTGATTTGAAGCTTTTAGATAAATGCTAGCCAAAGGTATCAAGATCCCATCTCCCAGACAAAGGATATTTATTTAAGTATATCTGTCATCACCTACCGGGGTATATTAGAATAACATTACTTCAATTAAGACTCATTAAGGATTAGCCCCCATACAAGCTCGTCTATAGTGCATTAAGGATTAGCCCCCATACAAGCTCATCTATAGTGACACCCTAATTTCTTTCAAAGCATCCAGTAAATATGTCAACAGGATTAGTGCCAGTCCAACAGGATAAACAGGATTTAGTATTCCCCTCTGTCTAGCCATCCATTTAGCTTAGGACACAACCAATCGTGTATCATCCAATCACATTCCATTTTATTGTTTAAATTTTTGTTAAATACATACTGTAGGCAGGTTTTAGGCAGAGAAGGGGTTTGACTCTCTTACCAAGCAGACCTCTCTCCCACAGCCCAGAGTGTGTACCGACTCTCTGTGGCACCCTCAGTTATTATCTAAGTATATTGTAAATTGTTAATTGTTCTTGTAAATAAAATTGTGATTAGTCTCCTGTGACTCTGGCTCTTTGCTGACTAATTCCCCAAGAAAACCAGCACGTCATTTGGAAGGTATTGTTCACCCAGAACAGTTCCATGATAATTTGGCGGAGAATCATCGTTTTCGGAACCACAGAGTCCAGGAACTAACTACGACCAGCTACAAGAACCCATTGGAGGACATGTCCAACTGTGATCATCTGATGGAATAACAAGCAAGCTGCATCAACCTCTGACCTCAACACTGGATTAAAGACAACCAACTCCTCCAAAGACACCAACAAAGGAAGAAAAAGTCTTCAAATATTGTAAGTAATACATTGTTGATTTCTTGTCATCCTTTAATTTAGTACGGTACATACTAATAGGTGTCATGGCAAATATGGAGTCTGGTATGGAAAGTAACTTTGAAAGTGAAATTCCAACAGTGTCTTTAGTTACGCCCCTTGCCAAAAGTGTAATTCAGGCAAAATTTGGCACAACAACAACAAATTGTTTAGTAGACACAGGGGCATCCATTTGTTGTATTTCGTCTGCTTTTCTGAGCACAGCTTTTGAAAACCTTACTCTTGGAAACTCACCCTTTCCACAGGTAAAAGGTGTTGGCGGCGAATTGCATAAAGTGTTAGGTTCAGTTGTGTTAGATTTTGTCATTGAGGATCAGGAATTTTCTCAAAGATTCTATGTACTGCCTACACTGCCGAAGGCAGTGATACTAGGTGAGAACTTCCTTGATGACAATGATGCAGTCTTAGATTATAGCTGTCATTCCTTGATACTCAACAACAGCACCTCAGATAGGCAATATATCAATTTCATAGCCAATTCAGTGCATGAGATTAGTGGATTAGCAAAAACAATAGATCAGATTTACATCCCCCCTCAGAGTGAAATTCATTTCAAGGTCAGACTATCAGAGACCAAAGAGGATTCCCTCATCCTCATTGAACCCATTGCTTCCCTCACTGCTCATTCTGAAGTAGCAGGCGGTAGAACTCTTTCTAAATCAAAAAGCAAGACTGCTACATTTAGGCTTATGAATCCCTCCCAAGAAGAAAAGGTTCTTGACAAGGGTACAGTTGTAGGCAAATTTAGTTACATTGACAAAGACTCTGTTTTTGAAATCGGCTCTGACCAACCATTCATCAGTACCGTTAACACCGACAATGAGAAGAGAGACAATGACACCAGGGATTATGTCAAAATTGCACAGGAGTTAGGATTTGATTTGACCAATACACAACTGACTCCAGACCAACGACACAGACTACTTAGATTTTTGGGACAAAATAGAAACATGTTTTCAACAAGTCTTGCAGATTTAGGTAAAACTGACCTGCACCAACATATCATTGACACTGGCAACCACCCACCCGTTAAGAGTAGACCATATCGTCAATCTCCTCATCTCCAAAAAGTCACTGAAGAACTTATAGATGATTTTCTGAAGTATGATTTGATCGAGGAATCTACTTCTATGTATTCAGCTCCAATTATCCTAGTCAAGAAACGCGATGGCTCATATAGATTTGTTTGTGACTACAGAAAGTTGAATTCTGTCACATTACCAATGTCTTGGCCTCTTCCTGTTTTTGATGATGTTGTTGATAACATCGCCAATGCACATGCTAAGATCTTCTCAACTTTAGACCTTGCTAATGGCTTCTTCCAAGTGCCATTACATGAAGATTCAAAGCATAAAACTGCTTTCGTCACGCATCAAGGCCTTTATCAATTCAAACGATTGCCCCAAGGTTTGACAAATTCTCCACTTTGTTTTCAACAGCTCATGAGCAAAGTGTTACGAAAATTGCTTTTTAAGGTTGCGCTGATCTACATTGATGATTTGATAATTTACAGCAAAAACTTTGAAGAGCATCTCCAACATTTGGAGCAAGTATTTTACTATCTGAAACAGGCAAAATTAACACTAAAGCCATCCAAATGCAATTTTGCAACGGACAAAGTTTCTTTTCTGGGTCATGTTTTATCATGTGGAGGTGTTCAAGTTGATGACAAAAAGATTGAAGCAATTAGAACCTTTCCAGTGCCCAAGTCACAAAAGCAGATTCGCTCCTTCTTAGGTCTCACAAACTTCTACAGGAAGTATGTGAAAAATTACGCTCACATAGCGCTTCCACTGAATGCCTTGCTAAAGAAGCATTCGGAGGCAGAACTAGGAAAGAAACCAAAGTTCCAATGGTCACTTGAGTGTGATCAGGCATTCAACACACTAAAACATGCTATGAGTAATACACCTGTTCTGGCGTATCCAAATTTTGACAAAGAATTTCTTCTTGCAACTGATGCCAGTGATATGAGCATAGGTTTTGTTTTGAGTCAAAAAGACGAGAAAAATAATGAACATCCAATAGCTTTTGGTGGTAGAGCTCTTCATGGCAGCGAAAAGAACTGGAGCATTACAGAAAAGGAAGGCTTAGCTCTAGTTGAAGCCATTAGATCCTTTCGTCCATACCTTGCAAATTCCAAATTCACAGTCTACACTGATCATATAGCATTGAAGTGGCTGAAATCCATCAAGGATGCCACAGGTAGGTTAGGACGATGGTCTTTGGAACTTTCTACCTACACTTTTGACATTGTTCACCGCAGCGGCAAAGCCAATGGGAATGCCGATGCTCTCTCACGTAGGGAATATGAGGAAAATATTAACTGTAATGATCAGACAGAAGAAGATGCTGAGAAAACAGTCTTCTCAGTAACTTCAACTCAGCTAAGCAAATCAACTAGCAATACAATCTTGCCAAACACCCATTCATCCACACAGGTCACACAGACAACTCAGACTGAGGATATTTGCACACCTATTGTCAATCACTTAGGATCAGACACACAGACAACACATTGGTCAGTCACCTTTGAATATGAAGAGGATTATCAGTCAGTACCAGTTAATGTTGTCGCAGCATTACATGCTACAAATGCTGATGTTACCCAAGACACATTGGTTGAAGTAAGTATAAAAGAACATCCAAATTTACGTCACCTACAAAGGATTTGTCCAGATTTCATCCAAATCTTTGACTACAAAGAGGATGAAGTCCTTCCACAAAATGAAAAGGATCGTCAAAAGATTCTTATTGAAGCCAATACTTTTGAAATTGATGAAGGCATCCTATACCGATTCGTTCCACAAAGACAGAAAGGACACGCAGACAAGTTCATTAAACAGCTGGCAGTCCCAAGAACCCTCAGAAATCAAGTCCTGCAATCCTATCATGACTCAGAGTTTGGCGGTTGCCACCATGGGAAAGAAAGGATGCACAACACCATGAGACCTAAGTACTACTGGCCCAAAATGTACAGCGATATTGCTACTTATGTCCAGACATGTGAGGTATGTCAACAGACCAAGAGGCACTACCATGGCAAGAAGGCACCACTTCGTCCACTACCTGTAGAAGAGGTCTTCACCCGATGGCACGTTGACATTCTCGGTCCCCTGCCAACAACACCAGATAAGTACAAATACATTTTGGTCATCACAGATGCATCATCTAGATGGTGTGAAGCCTTTCCACTTCGGACCCAAGAAGCCAAAGAAGTAGCAGATGTTCTCGTCAGAGAAATATTTTGTCGGTATGGTGCTCCAAGGACCTTAATTTCAGACAGAGGTCAGAACTTCATGTCCAAACTTATCAAAGCAATTTGTGAACTTTTGGCAATTAAATTTACCCATACCAGCCCATACCATCCTCAAACTAACAGCTGTGTAGAAAGGCTCAACTCTTATATCAATCAATCACTAAGAGCCTACTGTAACAAGTCTCAAAATGATTGGCCCCGTTTTATTCCTGGCATCATGATGGCCTATCGGATGGCTCCAAATTCATCAACTCAAAAATCCCCATATGTTATGCTTTTCGGCCGGGAAATGAGAGCTCCACAAGATGTAGCATTAATTCCAAAAGAAAATTTAGGCCACAATAACAAAAGTTATCTTTCCAATTTGCTTGAGGAGCTTGATATCACTAGAACAATCGCAGCTGAAAACACTGCTCGGGCTAAGGAGGTGTATTCAGAACAATATAACAGAAAGGCTAAAGAACCAGAATTCGTCCCAGGTCAAAGAGTTTGGCTTTACTGTCAAAAAGTTGAAAAAGGCCTTTCCAACAAATTAACCAAAAAGTGGTATGGTAGCTATTATATCATCCATACAGGTCCAAATTATACCTACAAACTGCGCCGAAGTTCTGACGACAAAATACACAAACCACTGGTCCATGCCAACCGTCTGAAGCCATATTTTGATCCTGCTGATCGTCCACAGTATCCTCCAGAACCATACCTCAATAACCCCAGTGACATAGATTCAGGAGTCATGGATGACAACGAGGAACCAGTCAATGATACTCAGTTTGACAGCAACAATTCCCCATCAACAAGTTCAACTTACCAGGCTACTGATCAATCACCTCCACAACAGAAAGGTAAGAAGGTCAATTCCAAAACAAAGGCAGGTACTTCCAGCAACAAGAGTCAGAAGCAAAAGACCCCAACAAAGAAGAAAAACCCTGCTTCAAGTACAACAGAAAAACCTACCAGTCCCACGGCAACCATGAAGGAAAATCATACCACACCAGGTCCTAGTGCTCCAACCAAGGTAAATGAAAAGGTAAATAAAGGGAAAAGAGGAGTGAATAGTAAGCATCACCAGCCCAAATCCAGAAAACAACCCGACGACAGCCAGGTACAACCTCCAAGTCCAACATCAGGTTATCAAACCAAGGACATCCCTCAGGTCTTCAATCCAGAGGACATCCACTCAATTGTTAGTTCCAAGAGAGCTAATGGCAAAATCTACTACAGAGTAAAATGGAAGGATCCAGAAAGAGGAAACACATGGGAGTATGGCAGCAGCATTCCAGACTCCATTCGGAGAGAATTTCACCTCAAAAGAAGTATGTCAGGAAAACGACGAAAACGTCCACTGAAGAATCATAAGTTTTTCGACCAAAAGGAATCAGCACTAGACAATAAATCAGTCAATGTTCTGTCAGGGAATACAATGTCAGGAAATGTCAAGCAAGACAACACCAAACCATGCATAGAATTAAATGTCAAACCACATCCGTTTTTTCCCAAACACCTACGAAGAGTAGAACATAAAATAGAAAGAGTTCTGGGCATTGAAATTATTCAAGGAGACTGCTATGTCAAGGTCTCATATAAAGAACATCCTGATACTGTCCACACATGCTATTTTGAAAGTGTTCCTCCCCACCTCATACAGCGCTACCTTGATGATAGCTGGCAGGATCTCCGAAATTGGTCCTGTCTAGAAGATAATCCTCCATACGATCCAGAGGAAGCACCAATTTATAAATCCAAAAGGGGTATTTTTCCACATAAAGACTTTGGAAATATCAACACCTTTTTCTACCGTGAATCATATCTGAATTACACAGAATGTGGTACCACTCAACCATACGGTGATCTACTCCCCATATATTCTGATATCTGCCAATTGCACATATTCTTGATCAAAATACAAAATCTCCTGAATAAACGGTGCAAATCACGAAACAGCTATTAGCTGTATCTTGTTATGTTTTCTTGGGTCCAGTCTTTTCACTATGGGTCGCCAGTTGAGAACAAATGGCATCAGCCTTATCATCTGAGTTATTTGTATCACAACAAATTTTGAGCATTGACCTGATCAACCAATCTCAAAAGCGAAGTGAAATGACACAAACCAAACCATACTGGGAATCGAACCCAAACCGTACCTAAGCGAACCCAAACCGTACCGAAGTGAAATGACACAAACCAAACCATACTGGGAATCGAACCCAAACCGTACCGAAGCGAACCCAAACCGTACCGAAGTGAAATGACACAAACCAAACCATACTGGGAATCGAACCCAAACCGTACCGAAGCGAACCCAAACCGTACCGAAGTGAAATGACACGAACCCAAACCGTACCGAAGCGAACCATACCGAAGCGAACCAAACCATACTGGGAAGCGAACCCAAACCGTACCGAAGCGAACCAAACCATACTGGGAAGCGAACCCAAACCGTACCGAAGCGAACCAAACCATACTGGGAATCGAACCCAAACCGTACCGAAGCGAACCAAACCATACTGGGAATCGAACCCAAACCATACCGAACCAAAATAAACCAAACCCTATCGCATTGAACCGAAGGAAAATCAAAGCGAAACAAACCAAATTCAAATAAAGCAAACTTAACAACCGAAATGAACCAAAACAAAGAAAAGGCAAACCAAATAGTTACGAAAACTAACAATGATATACACCTTTTGTATACCGTATTAATGTAACAAATCAATGCACTTGTTATATGCACATGCACATATAATGTGTCTAATGATTGTATCCAAAAGTAGAAGGATATTACTATTTTTTTCATGATAAACCTTTGTAATTTGCCGCCAATACATTCTTCCTGGTCATGACACCGTTTAGTAATAATTATGCACTGATCTTTTACATCATAATTATCATATTTGTTTTATTTTCTAGTTATTACAGACAAACTGAGGAAGTATTTATATATGACATATTATTTGAACATGCTAACTCTCTTTTCTTTGTTTCCATGTAAAACCTCCATGGACACAGCCTACTACCTTACAACCCCAATCCAGGATGTGGAACTCAAGGCCTCCTACATCACCCATAAAACCACCAGTACAGAGTGCCAAGACAAGCCAGCTCCACATCCAGAACCCCTTATGACAGCATTTTTATATTATGTTTCCTTATATCAAAGAGACTCTATAATAATTATTATTCACTACTACCAGTTTAACTTTATACATTGTCCATCTAAGCCTTAATTATTTTTATTTTTACACGTTTGGGGTCCAAACTTTTTCAGACGGAGGGGAAGTTATCATGGGATAACATTTATACTAAGTTATCTTATAATAATTAGATCTACATCAAGTGCTTTTATGAGTTATCATGGCGTAATATTTATACATCCTTTCATATAATTATAGTTTAGCAAGTAATAATTATCATTAGGTAAAATGCATATATAAAATATCAGTAGTTTCAGTTAAAGCTTTTTAGATGGTTGCTAGCCTAAGGTAATGGGAGCGCGTCTTCTAGACATACTATTCAATAAGACAAGAGTTACGTCTACATAGTTTAATTGATTTGAAGCTTTTAGATAAATGCTAGCCAAAGGTATCAAGATCCCATCTCCCAGACAAAGGATATTTATTTAAGTATATCTGTCATCACCTACCGGGGTATATTAGAATAACATTACTTCAATTAAGACTCATTAAGGATTAGCCCCCATACAAGCTCGTCTATAGTGCATTAAGGATTAGCCCCCATACAAGCTCATCTATAGTGACACCCTAATTTCTTTCAAAGCATCCAGTAAATATGTCAACAGGATTAGTGCCAGTCCAACAGGATAAACAGGATTTAGTATTCCCCTCTGTCTAGCCATCCATTTAGCTTAGGACACAACCAATCGTGTATCATCCAATCACATTCCATTTTATTGTTTAAATTTTTGTTAAATACATACTGTAGGCAGGTTTTAGGCAGAGAAGGGGTTTGACTCTCTTACCAAGCAGACCTCTCTCCCACAGCCCAGAGTGTGTACCGACTCTCTGTGGCACCCTCAGTTATTATCTAAGTATATTGTAAATTGTTAATTGTTCTTGTAAATAAAATTGTGATTAGTCTCCTGTGACTCTGGCTCTTTGCTGACTAATTCCCCAAGAAAACCAGCACGTCATTTGGAAGGTATTGTTCACCCAGAACAGTTCCATGATAGTGCTAACATCGCTTTGTGTAACGGATCCCAGGACTTTCCACAAAAAATCCACAAACAAGAAATAAATATAGCCTACTGTTTCATCACATACCATCTTCATATCAGGGTTACAACATTCAGTTCACGTGAGCTACGAATGCTCTTTGGCCTATTATCAACAAATAATAATAATGGTTGGAGGCCTAAGGAAGAATATATGTTCTTACTCCTTCCCAACTCTTTTGACGACCAGCCTCTATTGATGTGTTGGCGCTTTTTCAAAGAGTTTTCAAAAATCTTGATGAGGAAGTTGATTCCCTCTCTACGAGACTGCAGCAGGTCACTTTCCTTCTCATCCAGGATGTCAGCAAGAGCAGCAATGGCCGCCAGCCTGGACATGCCTAGTTTTGAGTCCATGTAGGATAAAAGCACTGGAGTGTAGTTGTGACTCCTCAGGTGTGGCACGCAGGGATCGTGCATGCCGATATTATGTACAATACCCAGCATAGTTTTTACTAAGAGAGCTTCATTTTTCTGAAAACAAAAACACAATGCAGATCCTGGAGTTTGAAAAAGGGAGGTTACCACAATACCAAATACACAAAGATAACAAAACTTGTAACTTACACATAAGGAGTTAGGAAAAAGGGGGCATGTGGATCCTGTTCTGGATCTTGCATGCGATATCCTGTACAACTTATTTGTACCCGATTTGATTTTTTATCACTCTAGCTGCATTGAAGGGTAGAATCAGATTTACAAATTGTTTTTTATATTTTCAGTTTGAAGTTCTATTTGCTTTGAAAATATACTTAAAGTACGTTGGATTTATTATTTCAATCTTATTAAAATTGAATCTTTAAATCCAATATGACCACCTCCAAAGGGGCAGTCGTGTACGATGAACTTTCTAAACAGCATCAAGGATTTTAAATTCTTGGTAAGGTGTGAGCAAAACATTCAAACAAAAAGCGAAAATAATCAGGGAAGTCTGAATGCAAAAATATAAAGCAGCGCTATCACATTGTTGCAAATATTTTCTGAGAGCCGTGCCATCAACATACTAAAGGGTCTTGGCCAACTATAAAATGTTGTGTGTTCTGTGGCAGTTTTCTTTTGTAAGATTGAAATTTCTTTTTCGGAACCGAGTCAAGAACAGATGCATCTTTCATTTCGATTCACTTTGGGTTCACCTTACATTACTTTCTGTGGAGGTGTCAGATCTTCAGCCAGAGAGGAATTATTTCAGACTAAAAGATCTGATTTGATCAGACCCCGCACAATTCAAGTCACTCCTGTTTCCTTACACAAGAGCAATAATGAATTAATGAATTATTCCTCTAGAAACATTTTTCAGGTGTTTTACCATAAATTTACCAACAGAAAACAGAAAAGAAATCCAAATCGGATTCTGATTACAATTATAGGGCCTTTCGTCACTGCATCTCCATCAGCTGGAACCATGTCTTCCAGACTGGAGCGAAAACCATCCAGAAAACCATCCATTTCACAAATACTCTCACAAACAGCAGGCACAGCATTGGTGAAGTTGATCAGTGCCTTGAGGCCATTCTTCAGGGGATTATTGAAGTCACTAATCAACATGCCTTGCGAGTTTTTATATTTCTTTTCAGTCAGTGTTGACACCAAAAACTTGCACAAACAATTCAAAAAATTTGTTTCAATAAATATTTGTGCAATTTCATGCCTTAACCTGCTGATATCTGATTTTGGTGCACCTTGCAATGAATGGTATAATTTTCCAGCTGACAGTAGGTTAGCTCTAAAACTTGCTGCTGGAATGTTTTCGTCAGTATATATGTCATTGTCCATAATGTTGGAAGTTAATTCTCTTGTCCTTGCAATCTTCTTCTGATATTTTTCCGCTATTTCTTCTGGTGTTAGTTTTTTGCGGGGCTTCTTCGGTCCTCGACCTGCACCACTTTGACCTTGACCTGCACCACTTTGACCTTGACTTGTACCATTTTCATCTCCATCTTCTTGTTCTTGGTCATTATCCTCACCTACAGACTGATCATCAATCTGATCATCATCAGATGAACTGTCGCTTTCTCTTGTCTGTCTGGTCTCTGCAGCAGCTTCTTCTCTGGGTACCTCAGTGTTAGCATCCATGTTGGAAGGTTTCTTCTGAGACTGGGAACCTTCACTTGCCTCAGTCTCTGTTGTCTTCTCTGGTGCTACGTGTGGTTTGTCCGTTTGTTGTTGTGTGGTCTGATTATTCACAAGGTCTTTAGTTAAAATTTCTTTTCCTGATTTAAACTGATGAATGGAAGTTTTTGAAGTTCCACATCCCATGCCAAAATACTTTCTGTAGGGTTGTCTTGTTCATCTGCAAATTAAAAGAAATAGGTTTATTTCTATAGTAACATAGCATCATTCATCAGTCTGCCATAATATAGCTGTTGTAAATTAATTATGAGAGTTTTATTGCAGCATCACTAATAAACAGCCCATTTATAACACCATCATTTTACTGTTCCCAGTTTACAAAGAAATTGTTGTGTCTGTTCCCTTCTTACTTGATAAAATAACCAAATATGTAGCCCTACCAAACATTCATATGTGAATTATAGTTAAATATCCAGAGATGCCAGAAGATTGTTTAAAATAAATATATATAAATGAAATGCCTCCTGCCTCACATTTCTTATATATTTGGATGAAAATCTAATAATCAATTTATCGTCGTCAAACATCTTGAAGCATATATTGGTTGATTTTCCAACAGACTTTTGAAAACGACTGGAATGTTTATAAACAAATACATTAGATTGATTAAGATGTTTACATGTAGTATTTTCATATGAATGTTGTTGTTTTTAAAGGATTAATAAGTGCATAGCAGCTTGTGCCTTCAACAGAGTTCTGAAACAATAAAACAGTATTGTCCAGATGGGTTTATACATCTCTCACCCCATTGGTCTGATAGTATACTTTAACAGGCAGTATTACTCTCATATATACTCATCAGTAACTGCACGACTGATAAGACAAATTCCCATGGCAACATAATCAGACAACTGGTCATAAATCAGGGGACATAAATCATTGGTCGCGGAGAATAGTGGAATGTTAAACCGTGTTTGGCAGCTCGACTCGTAAAAGAGTTTCTATAGGGCTTAGGTCCTGCCTCCACATAAAGCATGTGTAGCACACGTGGTGTCTCCTTAGGAGGCAAGTGACTTTGTTCGAAAAATGTCACTGTTCACCTAGCAGTTGATGGGTACCCAGTAGGATGTGACGGTTAACCTTTTAGTGCTTCAGGCAGCTTGGGATGTATACTCCCCAGGGAGCTTAGAATGAATCGAGTGCACACTGATCCATTGACCGGGGTGATAATGTAGATCTTTGAGCATGCTTTAGGGTGTGGAATAACTGGATTTAGTGCATCTTAAATATGTACATTATAACTGTTTGAAGAACATCAAAAACTATAATCTCTCTCTGTACCCTGCAAGATATATGTGTGTATTTTGACCACTAAAATATGGTGAGGTGAGGTGAGGTGAAATGGGGTTTAACATCGCGTCCAAGATTATTGCACTTATATAGCGACGTGTATGTACGTGTGTGTGTTTGTGTGGCTGCTTGTACTAGTCCGGACTGATGCCGATTTATAGTGCTAGCTCACTGAGATACCATGCCGCAGTTTTAACATGAATACCCCACTCAGACACGGTATACTGACTCCGAGCCGACCAGTCCGTTGTTTTAGCCCCTTAATGCCGAGCGCCAGACAGGGTAACAACAAGTACCATCTTTTAACGTTGTTTGGTATGACGCAGTCGGGGATCGAACCACAGACCTTCCGCTCTCCGGGCGGACGCTCTACCAGTAGACCACGGAGGCCGTCAGCAAAATATGGACCTGGTTGGAAGAAGATAATATTCTTGCCGAAGAACAGAAGGGCTTCAGGTCAGAAAGATACTGTCTTGATCACCTATATATACAGTTTGTAATGTTGTAAATAACAGGAAAGCATCCAGACTCTCTACATGTGTATGTTTCATTGATATTATGAAAGCTTTTGACACTGTTGATCAAGACTGCCTATGGTTTAAACTCATGTCTATTGGAGTTTGTGGCAAAATGCTTAAAGCTGTTCAAGCATTATATCAAAATGTGAATTGTACTGTCCGACTAAATGATTGTATAACTGACTCGTTTTCAGTATCTGCAAGGCGTAAGACAGGGATCAAATTGTCATCAACACTTTTTTCACGGTACATCACGATTTGGTAATTGAGATAAATAATACAAAGTGTGGTATAAATATTGATAAAGCCATGGTGTATAGTTAGTTTCATGCTGATAATATTGCATTTCTTGGCCCCGATGAAATGTCCCTTCAAAGTATGTTTAATGTTTTAAGTAGGGCTGGAACGGGTAGCTCGGGTACTCGGGTTGAGTGGGTACTGAGTAGGACCCAGGTACCCACAGGACTACCTGGACCCGCAGTTAGTCGCGTGATGTTGGTCGTGTTTTATCAAAATTTAGATATGGTATTTTACCCTTGTATATCGAAATCGGCAGATATACTAAGCCTCTTGTCCAACTTTCAGAGAGAATTTGGAAATATTGTATTTTGCCAAATGATTTACATATTAATATGATTGAAAATGAATTTCGTTTTTTAACTCAATGTATTTTTTTGGATGATTTGCATTTCAATCGCTTTAATGTAGCACAGGAAAATAATCCTTGGATATATAACTATAATGTTTTGGAGAAGGCAAATGTTGTATCTTATCTATATTTTATACAACCAAGTATTTTTTGTATTTTTTTTATCTATTTATTTATTTTTTTTGTTATTGAAATCTTATAATGTCTCATATGCCCACTTATGGGTCGAAGCACTGTATTTATATGTAATTATGTATATAACATGTATATTTTACATGTTCAAGTGCGTGTGACACTTAAATAAACAATTTAATACTGTGACACGTTGGGGTCAATCTGTCAAAACAACTCCTACACGATACTCGAGATCTCCGCTTGTGAGTACCAGTATTGTTCTCGTGATGAGTCACGTAGGCACTCCTCGGATCTTGGAACTGAATTCATGTGAGTGGTACCGATTTCATATCTACTCACACAAGCAGGCCAGCATCTACGTCTCCAGCGCCGACTTTCAGAGTTTTTAGATATTTGTTTTTCTTGGTTCTCGTGTGTGTACTCTAACGCGACAACAGCATTGTTTACAATGGAAACCATAATACGGAAGTGAATCCAAGGGGAGCAACTCTGTTAAGCTGCTGAAAATACTGTTTGGTGTTGTCCCAGAGTATGGTCCAGATTACATAACTATAATTACTTTAAGTCTATGGTAAAATGTGCTTCTTTCGATGGTAATACACCTTCATACTAGATTTACACATTAATTATTGCACATATATTATGCAGTTGATCCGCTTCAGCTGACATTTAATTTATTTCAAAACATCTTCATTTGCGGATTGACCTCAGTTGGAAAAATTGCGAGCGAGGGTGTGGTTGATAATGTAGATCTAGATAAGGGAGTTGGTATGGATGCGGGAATATGGGGACAGGTGAGGATATGTTCGAGAAATAGGGTGTGGGTGAGGGTACTGTGTGACAGTGTGGCTGAGGGTTCGGATGTGATTGAGCGGTTGTCAATGAGGGTTTGGATGGGTTTGAATGAGCGGGTGTGTTTGAGTGGTTTGAGTAAGCTGCTGTGAGTGAAGGGCTGGATGTGGTTGTGTGTATATAGGATGCTTGTACAAGGATATTATCAATATTATTTTTATAATTATTATTAAATGTGGTGTGTATATGTATAAGATATTGTTTTTTATGAATCTTTTAGTGTCTCGCAGGCCATTTCGACCGGCCGCTGAGTTTTTACATAGCGGGTGACACTATAATAAAATCTTCTTCTTCTTCTCACCTACCCGGCACTTTGCATGGATAAAATGGGATGACCTGTACTGGGTCAGCATGGTGTTATAGTTTGTTTGTATATAGAGGGCCCCGTATAGAGTGATCGAGCGTTCGCTGATTCTGCATTGTACTGATTGTCAGGTGAGCTGTAGTTCATTTTCTTTACAAATTTGTGTTGCGAGTCAAGCGCTTTATAAATAACTATTATATTATTACTCATACTAAATATTAATCTAAATGGAGGGACGATTTGGAACATTGTTAGGGAGATGTAATCAGTACACCCAGATGACTATAAATATCTTGCAATTTTTAGTCGTCAACCTTTGCACCATGGCAAACGCTCAAATAAACACAGTTTATAGTATTATTAATGATCGAGGTGGTCAGTAAATGTTGTACATGGTTTTGTTTGTTTGTTGTGTAACGCCGCACTCAGCAATATTCCAGTTATATGATGGCGGTCTGGAGTCTGGACCAGACAACCCAGTGATTGACGTCATGAACATCGATCCACGCAATTGGGATGCCATGACATGTATCAACCAAGTCAGCGAGCCTGACCACCCGATCCTGTTAGTCGCCTCTTACAACAAGCATCTTCGCTTTTTACGACAAGCATGGGTTGCTGAAGACCTATTCTGCCCGGTTCTTCACGGGTACATGGGGTTGTACAGAAGATGACAAAATGATATCAAGGAAAAAGTAGCTCAGACCGCTGGAACATGCTCTTGACAGGTTCACGCGTCAGTTTGTTGACGGTTCCAGGTCGCTACTCGAGTACCCGGGCAATGTGTTTCATTTAACCGGTTACTGAACTCACTCAAATGTCAGTATGGAAGATGGACAAATATAGCATGAATATATATGTCAACTAAACATTGCAACATATTTATGATCATCCACTGATAACATCTCCCAAAGATTATTTCCAAATTACCAAATGAATTATGAAATAAATGTCAGTCTAAGCACAGGAGTCCTTATCTAAAAATAGACGCCCTCATGCATATTCATGACCATCTACACACGCGAGCTCGCGTGTGGAGATGGTCATGAATATGCATGAGGGCGTCTATTTTTAGATACGGACTCCTGTGGTCTAAGTTATATACCTAAACCAATGTTGTAATGCCCATTGTTTTTATTGTATCTAAAGTGGGATGGACTTTAAAATTATTGATGACTGAGTGAGTGAGTTGGGTTTAATGCCGCTTTTAACAGTATTCCAGTTATAATCACGGCGTGTCAGCTTAATATGGGAGGAAAGCCTGAAAGTGATGCAGGTCTCAGACGTTAACCACTTCGGTGAAACCAACGTGTATGGATATGGTGCTGACAAACCTAGAAACATAATCGGGGCGAACCGGGATTCGAACCCACAATCATAGGTTTCTGGTGTGCCCAAGGGACGCAACTCTGCACAGCGAATCGTGGCGCCTTAGATGACTGGGCCACCCGTGCCCCCAAATTTATTGATGAAACAATGTCATGTACAAATGGATGTGAAAGTCAATATAAGAGAACAAATGTAGCAACTTGACCTTGTTTTATTAGAGCATATCACAGTATCTGATGTGAGATGGACAATACCCCATTCTTTAGGGATTATCCCACCTATGCCCGGTTTCTAAACCAGAGAACAACAGGTGCCGGTCAAGTGAGGAGACCCCTTATTTGCATGTTATTGACCAGATGTCAATTTCGCTCGTTTGCAAGTGATATAGTATTAATTTTGTAGACGGATTTATTTTGGCGGATCAGTGTCGTGCTTATATTATCCAGTACGGTTTCTTTGAACTAGCATGGGAACATATATTTATCATCCAAAACTCGCTCCCACGGGAGATATCGCTTGGATTAGATCAAGCGATATCTACACTGTAGATATCGCTGCAATGAAATTACATCACAATGCTTTGCAGACCATTGCGACGTCATCGTTACCATGACGTCACAATCAAATGACATCACAAATGGCTCCGCTACTGAAGCTGTTAGCAGTACTTTTTACACTGAAAACACTGCTAATTACTGTCTACAAATTGAAAAAGTTGGAAGAATGATGTTGGATGATACATAAAATCTCACACTCGTTGATAAAAGTGGGAAAAATACTCGGCAAGCCTCGGAATTTTTCCACTTTTATCAACTCGTGTAGATATATTTGATATCAAAAGACACTCGGGTGAGATTCTGTATATAGTAGCCATGTCTATAGCCAGGTAAGTGCCACAAATTAGGAGAATCAATAAAACAAAGGTGGTCGCGGAGAGTCCTTGGATGGGTGACTTAGGTCCAGCCCCACACTGATGCCCATATAACGCATGTGTGTCTCCTTGGCAAGTGGCTGTTTTAAGTGTGCTTCTGTTCACCCAGCAGTGAATGGGTACCCGATAGGATTAGGTGGCTGTTAACCCCCAAGCGCCCCACAGGCAGCTTGGGCTGTAGACTCCTCGAGGAGCTGAGAATGATTGTTGAGTGCCCACTGACCCGTCACCGGAAGTAACAATGTGTTTTGAGCATGATATTCGGCGCCATATAAATGGACCTTATTATTATTTTCTTTTTTTATCTCTCAAAGTTATATACACAATCTGGAATTCATAATAATGCTGAGATTTAAGATTGAAAGTATTTAAACTTTGCGGCAGTTTGTGCGCCTATTATCCTGGTCAAACCTCATGAAGCGTTATAAAATCACACTCCTTGCCTCTGCATTTTACGAATTCGGAGTTGGAAGTAAGAGCGTGGCACAAGTAGAAGGATAATTCTCTGAGTCTCTGGAGCAGTGGTGTTAAGAAGAGCTGAATGTGGTGAAAACCAACTGCATTATCATCACTGAAAATATAATACACAATACATGATCATAATTGCAAATTAAACTTCATATTTTGAACTTTAGGTTCTGCAAATATTTTTTCTGATTTTAAAATATATGTACATATTTCATCTATTTGATCTGAATTAAATATTTTGAATATCATCAATCTTAGGATTAGGTTTTTATTGTTTACAGTTTCTTCCAGTTAAAGCGTGGCCTAGATACTTGTAACGAATACTTTAATTTTCAAAATGGTCTCCAGCAACCTTTGGTGGTCGTAACTGGCGACTTATAATGGATCGGGTGTGGTCAGGCTCGGTAACCCTGGTTGGTCACGTGTCATCGTATTCCGACGGCGCGGATCATTGCTCGTCACTGATGTCAACCACAAGATTGTTTGGTCCAGATTCGATGATTTATAGGTCACGTAGCTGCAATGATAATGATATTAATGATTTCACATAACTTAAATATTACGGTTGAAATGTACATGATTATAGGGTAGGTAGAGATATATATAAAAAAAAGCACACCATACATTGCCAACAATTTAATCTGCTGTGAGTGGATGTTGTCAATGTTGTTCGGTACCGGTATATGATATTGCACTTTCTTGTCCAGTAACATGTAACTTATCTCATCGGGCGACCCCAAAACGTTCATATTTTCATGAGCGTCCACGAGTGAACAACTCAACTGTACTGGCTCATGAGACACGCTTAACATGTTACCTGACATGAAAAGACACAAATGTTCTATTTTCTACCCATAATTATTTTCTTCCACGACCTTCCCGATGTCACTGAGGCAGACGGAAAGTAGTTCGGCATGATATCCGAGAGATATCGATTTTATGTTTTGAAAGACATGAAGCATATGTTTTCACAGAAGCCTAGTAAACTGGGTTTTCCCCAGTATGTCAAGTGTTGTCAATTATGTTCAGGGCATCCGTTTGTCTATCAGTCCTCGACAAGTGAGTGAGAGAATGAGTTGGGTTTCCTGCCGCTTTGAAAAAACATTCCATTCTATCATATCGAGACATGTTGGAAGAAATCCTTTCACTCTGGTATGGTATAACAACCAATAATCAGACTAGCAGCATTTGAGATGGAAGAATCGTAATCATGAATGCTATTTTTTCTTGACCTACGCATCTTCCCGAGGCAAGGTGAGGTGAGGTGAAACGGGGTTTAACGTCGCGTCCAAGATTATTGCACTTATATAGCGACATGCATGTACGTGTGTGGTTGTGTGGCTGCTTGTACTAGTCCGGACTGATGCCGATTTATAGTGCTAGCTCACTGAGATACCATGCCGCAGTTTAACATGAATACCCCACTCAGACACAGTATACTGGCTCCGAGCCGACCAGTCCTTGTTTTAGCCCCTTAATGCCGAGCGCCAGACAGGGTAACAATAAGTACCATCTTTTAACGTCTTTTGGTATGACGCGGCCGAGGATCGAGCCCCGGACCTTCCGCTCTCCGGG